AAGGCAGCTACAATTAATTTGTTTTCATGTAAACCCTCAAAATGCACCTTTCTGTCTCAGTTGAACTTGCTTTCAACTTTTGTTTCACTGTCAAAGGGTGCTTAAATACATGCTTGTTTTTTTTTCACGGCAACGAGCATTCCAATATTCAAAGACAACAGCCACGCTTTCCCAGTTAGGAATAGGAAGGGTTGAGGCTAGGGTTAGGGATAATAGAGTTAGGGATAGGGTTGGAGTTGGGGTTAGGGTTAAAGATAGGGTTAGGGGTGATGGTTAGGGATAGGGTTGGGGTTAGGTATAGGGTTAGGATTAAAGATAGGGTTAGGGATGATGGTTAGGGATAGGGTTGGGGTTCGAGATAGGGTTAGAGATAGGGTTAGGGATAGGGGCAGAAGGGCGAGGGATATTGTCGGCGTTGGGGTTAGGATAGTGCGCATCTTGGGGATAGGGTTAGAGAAAGGGATATTTACATCAACATTTGACCCAACTGAATATACGACAACAAAAGTCAACATATTAAAAATATGTTATAAAAATGACAGAAACAGTACTCACTTTTCAAGTACATAAGGAAGTTGCTGTAAAGAGCCTCGCTTCACAGGGCAAGGTATCTGAAGAAATAAACCACGTATCAGATCCACCACAAAACATAACATGTTATTTAGCAGAACTGTTCGATTCACTTTCCCCGGAAAAAAATGGCCTGCATGATACCACTGAGGGTGCATTCAGCGAAATAATTGTATTTCTGCGCGCGAGCTCATGAATATTTTGTGATCCCACGGGTCCTTACAATAAGACATGCCGTAATCAAGAGGGATCACAGAAACATTTCCATAAATCCCGAACTTGGGACTGGCAGTTTCCAGTTCGGATTATTTCTTTCGCAAAAGCCCTAAATTGAGGGCATATTTGGATAGAGGTGGGCGTCTTCAACCAGAGCTGGGCAAATAGGTTTACTACTTTTTTTTACTACAAGTTATTGAGCCAAGAACTCAATTTAAGCTAAAAGTGTCACACTGAAAATATTCACCAAAAGTATACTTGTGGGGATAACCCCTGACATAAGATAAAAAGAAAAAAAAAACTAGGTTGAACATGACATGAGCAGGGACCAAACTGTTGTAACTATATTAACTCCAGGATGACTTTGGGGGAGATAAAGTGAGACAAACAAACCAGTTTGTCATAAAACAGTTACTGCTCACAAGAGTAATGGTTTGACAGACCTTCTCGATGACTGTGCTGACCCCCTGGCCCGAAAAAAATGCGAGAAATGTAGGTTCATAGACGGTCAGCTGACTGACGGAGCCGAGGCACGCACAAGGTAGTATATGCAATGTAGACGTATTTAGCTTGATTACTGAAGTACATATGGCCAATTTCGAGAAACCCAGCTTATCTTGCGACTCACTTTAATACTTCAGGTGAGTTGATGGAAAATTAAGCTTGTTTTGCCAATTAAACTGTGTAAAGAAGATATTTTCATTAAACTTCCCACATGTGGAACAATTTGCCAGATAAAATAGTGATAGCCAACCTCATCAAAGTGGAATTCAACAGTTCTGTCAGAAAGCACATCTGCCTTCGAGAGCACATCCCCAGGCTGTATTGGAAGTACACGTAAATGCATTTCAGTTTGTGCCCTTTTATCTAGCAGTTTTCTTCCTTGACACTGTTACATGTATGTAACTCTAGGACAGCACTCTACTGTAACGGTGTAAAATGAACGCATGAATTCAGAGTTCAGCAGTGTCGCTATGGTTACAAGTTGTTGGGCAGGTTCAAAGTTTATTAGTGGAAATGATCCCAGGACCGTGAGTCGCGAGTTCGAACAAGTTACATTGTATCCTTCGTAATACGCTTTTCAGCTGTTCTCGGAGTCGCCAGCAGCAGGCGACAATGTTGACACGTCACTTTTACTAGGTATCTGGCAACACTGCGTCTGTATCATTTCATATGTTATAAAGAAAGTGCCCTTAAAGTTTTCATTCCTAGCCCAAACAAACAAATTTTGCATACATTAACTCACTTATCTCGCTTCGTTGGCACACATTACATCATTTTAACGCTAGTAATAAAAAAAAATGCCTGAACCAATAACTTGAGCAGAAACTTGCGAAAACACTCCCCTGAGTTAACTTTGTATGTAGTCAGAGCAGAAACTATTTACTGTTGCCTATAGATTGGGTGCACGGGCGTAAGTGCCTGGGAGATGGAGTATATATAACATATCCTCCCTCTTAAATCTTCGGGGGATTGAACAATATGGCCCCACTTTTTCGTGATGAGCAAAAGTTCAATCTGGTTAAGAAGTAGTTTTCAGGCTCTCCAACACCCAAAATGCGTATACAGCATTCAAAAGGGGAGTACAATTGAGGAATGCCGGAAACGCCACAATCCCATCGTGGAGGGCTGCTGAGGTTGAAGGTGTTCACATAAAAAAAACACAGACATCTGGGCTCGAGTCACTCAATTTATATCTGTAAGGAGCAAGCGGTGTGTAGGCTAGCGGTAAGAGAGACCACATGGGGGAATCAATTACACAATTACAAAAATCACAGAAAGGGAAAGAAAATAAATACCATAAATGAGATCCTTTGTGCATGAATGGAGTTGTAAACAGCAGTTCTTCAATGAGGCGCATTGTCGAGGTGTGAGAGCACATCCTGAAGTTCACAGTAAACCTCTTTGGGGCATATAATTTCATTATAATAATCTAAAACTTCCAATTACACGTATACTGTTACGACAAAGAATTACGTGTAATTTATTCAAACTGCAATTACACTGTGACAAATTATTTTTTTTACAGCGAAAGTAATGATTGTGCATCATTTACCTACTGTAGCAAGGGATTACTCCCCAAAGGCAACAATTGCTCAAGAGATTAAATCCAATTTATTTGAAACTCTGATCTTTGTGTTCCCATGTGCATGTATTCTGTGAGTTAATTAATCAACCAAAATACACCATGCACAATGACCTACAGAATCAATCTCTATAACCAAGAGGGGCCTTATACACACTCGTTCTATAATCTATACACACACAAATATCAATAAAACCACCGTTGGTAGTCCTCCTTGACAGAAATTGTGATTAAAGTAGGTGACCGGCCAAATGCACTTTCCTTAATGTGAACGTGCGCACGAGGGCATCCATTATGCATCGTGACTTATACTGTTTCACTGCAATACTCTATTTCCGACTTCATTATACAGTGCCAGAGTCCCCAATGGCTTATTCATAATTTATCAATGACTATTTGCTAAAAAGGGGAAGGTTTGCCTTAAAGGAGCAAGCGGTGTGAGGGCCATAGGCAAGAGAATAGAATAGAATAGATAGAAGAGGTAATTTTATTGTCATTTCCTTATCGCGTATAAAAGAGGGTGAAATTTGCCTTCCTGGTGTTGTAAAATGATGTTCGCAAAACTACAATACAAAGTCAACAATATACAATCTTAAAACACACATTTCACAACATCAACAATTTACGTTACATTTAAAAACGCTGAAATATACATACAATGTCAATTTAAATTTCAAAAACCTATCCAAAAAGGAGATAAAGTGTTCATAAAACACATTACTGCTTATCAAAATATGCAGTTCAATAACATTTCCTACTTACTTTTGAATTAAATGTGTGTATAGCACATGATGAAAAACTTGTTCTAAACCTATCTGCTTTTATTCGAAGCTGGCGTACTCTCCCGGACTCAAGCTTCTCAAAAAAGGCATTCAATGGGTTTGGATGGATTGTTTCTTATTTTCTGAAAATGGATCAACTGCCTGTCATCCACCAGAACTGAACATTCTCGATGTCATAACCAATTATTTTGCTCGCCGTTTTTCCAATCTTCTCGATTTTTCCCTTGCTTTTTTCACAGTGAGAGAGTTGAACCAAATGATTGAGCAGAACATCACAACTGACTGTATTACAGAAACGTAAGATAAATTGAGAATATCTCTATCTACTTCAAAGGACTTTAGCTTCCGAAGAAAATACAATCGTTGATTAGCCTTTGCAAATGTTCTGTTAAAATGCTGCTTCCATGAAAGGCTGTTGTCGATGAGAACACCCAGGTACTTATAACTTGATAAATTTTCAACGCATTGTCCGGTCAACATAACTGGACGCATGTCAATTTTAGTTTTGCGGAAGTCGAAAATCATTTCTTTAGTCTTATCGACGTGTAAGATCGGCCCATTTTCTTCACACCACTGGTAAAATTTCACTATTGCATGCCGATATTCAGTCTTGTCATTCTAAAACCCGTAAGTACTGTGTCATCGGCATATTTTAGAATGGAACATGAATCACTGTCTGATCTACAATCGTGTATAATGCAAACAAGACCAGGGAGGCCTTGCAGAACACCGGTATTTATACAAACATCGTCCGACCATACACCATTCAGCCTAACTCTTTGTGTTCCTTCGGTCAGGAAGCTGTAAATCCAGGAACAAAGACCAGGCTGTTCATTCGATGTTGTCAAATTTTGAAAAATAACATCAGGTTTTACAGTGTTAAAAGCCGACAAAAAGTCAACGTGCAATGTACGCACATAGGTTTTTGGTCTGTCAAGATACTCATATATTCTGCGAAGGAATTCAATGATGGCATCCTCTACCCCTTTACCTGCCTGGTAGGCAAACTGACATGGATCAATATAGATTTGGGGCAGAAGAATCTTCTTAACTAACTTCTCAAAACATTTCATTATAACCGGTGTGAGTGCTATTGGCCGATATTCGTTTTGAGAGATAGGCTTTGGTATTTTTGGAATTGGTACTACTTTTGGAGTTTTCCAAAGCTTTGGAACAATCTGACTATTCACAGACCATTGAAATAAGCAGTAGAAATAGTTGCCAGTTCAGAGTGATAAAATTTCAGCACCTTTGGTGATAGACCGTCTGGCCCATCTTCATAACTAGAAGTTATGAAGATCTACATCTTCATAACTTAGCTGAGGCTGTGCATCATCTACAACTTCTGTAGCTTGAGACTGAACATAATCATCAATATTAATACTACTGACAGAGTTGCTTAGTGTTTCAAATCGTGCAAAAACTTATTCATGTCATGTGCAAAAACCAGTTACCATGGTAACTGTGAGACTTGGACTTTCCAATTCCTGTTATGTTCTTTAAACCAATCCAAGCATTTTTTGAGTTCCCTGACCGAAACAGATTTCCCAATTTGTTCCCATACTGCCGCTGGACTTTCTCAAGCGTTTAATTCCCGCCTGAATTTCACGTTGTTTTGAACCCTCTCCATTAACCAAAGCCTTGTGTTTATTAGCATTTTTTTCTGTAAACTCCTTTAATCCAGGGTTTACTGTTTGGATACATTTTAATTCCCCGTTGTGGCATGATAAGTTCCTCGGCGTTAGGGTTAGGATAGTGCGCATCTTGGGGATAGGGTTAGAGAAAATGATATTTTGAGCTATATATTTACATCAACATTTGACCCAACTGAATATACGACAACTAAAGTCAACATTTTAAAAATATGTTATGAAAATGACAGGAACAGTGCTCGCTTTTCAAGTACATAAGGAAGTTGCTGTAAAGAAGCTTGCTTCATGGACAAAGGTGTCTGAAGAAATAAACCACGTATCAGATCCACCACAAAACATAACATGTTATTTAGCAGAACTGCTCGATTCCCGATTCACTTTCCCCGGAAATAAAATGGCCTGCATGATACCATTGAGGGTGCATTCCGCGTAATGATTGCATTTATGCGCCCGAGCTCATGAATATATTTTTTGATCCCACGGGTTCTTACAGTGAGATATGCCATAATCAGGAGGGATCACAGAAACATTTCTATAAATCCCGACTTTGGGACTGGTAGTTTCCAGTTCGGGTTATTTCTTTCGCAAAAGCCCTAAATTGAGGGCCTAGTTGGATAGAGGCGGACGACGACAATCAGAGCTGGGCGAATAGTTTTACTATATTGGAGGTATCTTAGGATAAAGGCGAATAAAAACAAATCGTGGCTAAAACCCATAACATTGAAAGGAAAAGTGATCTTCTGGCCATAATCTTTAATTTCCGGTGAAAAAAAAAGGAGACAAACCTCCTCCGAGAGTGTACTGGCGGCGCTTTTTCGCTCTGATTTTTTACCGCTTTCTATGAGAGCGTATTATGGTGTAGTGCAACCTGCGAGAGTTCAGGGGTACACCACTACGAATAAATTCCCATAGACAGCAATGATAAACACCCACACTTCACAATTATATAAAAAAAAATACAACTCTCACATGTGTACAGGCTGCACAGAAAAAGGATAATCGACATGTCCCCTTTCATTTTCCTTTTTAATTTTCGGGGGGGGGTTGACCAATGAATTTTTGAGAAATTTTAAAAAGAAGCAGACTACCCCTTAAATGAACAAAATGTCCCTGCCCAGAAGAGTCAGTAGCTTTGAGAGACTCTGATTCACCCCCGCCAAATACCAACTGTGCCTTAGCCCACCGGGTAATTATAAGCTCTTCTGCTGGGACTGTCCAGATGAGTGCCTGAGTACAGGTTCGAGACGTATGGCCGACTCGGCGGCCAGGGCTTAGGGGCTTGTCTCGTTTCCTCTCTTGCATGGTCGCTCGAACCCTCTTTGGGGGTAAATTGATGGGCTGGGAGGAAGTGTGGTGGGCCAGGAACNCAACGCATAACTTTTAATTTTTTCCCTCACCTATTTTTTTTTTTTTTTTTTTTATTTCCTGCTCGCAAAACTCCCAAGGCAATTTTCTAGGTTGAATACATGGATTTTTCTCATCTTTAACCTAAATTTGCAACTTTTTATTTCAATGACGTCAACAGCTGCAATTAATTTGTTTTCATGTAAACCCTCAAATACACCTTTCTGTCTCAATTGACCTTGCTTTCAACTTCTGTTTCACTAGTTTCAAAGGGTGCTTTAATAAATGATTGTTTTGTTTTCACGGTAACGAGCATTCCCATATTCAAAGGCAACAGCCACGCTTTCCCAGTTAGGGATAGCAAGGGTTGGGGCTAGGGTTAGGGATAATAGGGTTAGGGGTAGGGTTAGGGGTAGGGTTAGGGATAGTGTTAGGGTTAGAGGTTAGGGTTAGAGATGGGTTTAGACATAGGGTTAGGATAATAGGGTTAGGGACAATGTTGGGGTTAGGGGTAGGGTTAAGGATAGGGTCAGAGATAGGGTAAGGGTTAGACATAGGGTTAGGGATAATGGTTAGGGATAGGGTTGGGGTTAGGGGGAGGGTTAGGGATAGGGTTATAGATAGGGTTAGGGATAAGGGTTAGGGAAAAGGTTGGGTTTAGGGTTAGGGGTAGGGTTAGAGATAGGGTCAGGGTTAGAAATAGGGTTACGGATAATAGGGTTAAGGATAGGGTTGGGGTTAGTGGTAGGGTTAGGGATAGAGATAGGGTTAGGGTTAGAGATAGGGTTAGGGATAGGGTTGGGGTTAGGGGTAGGCTTAGGGATAGAGTTGGGGTTAGGGGTAGGGTAAGGGTTAGAAATGGGTTTAGACATAGGGTTTGGGATAATAGGGTTGGGACAGGATTGGGGTTAGGGTTAGGGATAGGGTCAGAGATAGGGTTAGGGTTAGAGATAGGGTTAGGGACAATGGTTAGAGATAAGGTTGGGGTTAAGGTTAGGGGTAGGGTTAGGGATAGGGTTAGGGATAACAGGGTTAGGGATAGGGTTGGGGTTAGGGGTAGGGTTATGGATAGGGGCAGAGATAGGGTTAAGGATAATGGTTATGGATAGGGTTGGGGTTAGGGTTAGGGATAGGGATAGGGTTATAGATAGGGTTA